TGTGGGATTGATCCCCCTCCAACCTGCCGAGCAGGGGCCAAGAGCGATCACGAACGCGCCAAGTCTCCTAAATCTTTTTCCCCTCTTCCTTTTCTTTCCAGGGATTTACTCCGTAGGCAGCAAAATGACCCCGGTGGGCTCCTTCCGACCCGGTAAGGCCTCGGCTTTGGCTTTCGGGGCCGTTGGGCCGCGCTGCCGCGCGCCCCGGGGCGCCGGATGGCAGAAAGCAGAACTCCCCGAGGTGCCTTCGCCCGGGGGTTATTTTCAGCGTCGTCACTAAATCGCATCTCCAGAAGAGCAAAAAAATGCCCCTTCTCCCCCCATTGCTCCCATCCTTGCTCTGCTGACGCCTGCGTGACGCGCAGGGGCCTCCTGAAGATGCTCAGAGACCTGGCAGCAGCCGACCTTCCCCCTGCATTTGTTTGTTTTTCCCCTCTGCCCTTTTCGGGCATTTTTTTTTTTGATGGGAACTGCAGCTTGAGGTGCCAGCATTGGGCAGCTTTTTGTGCCGTTGAGGGTCATTGCACAGTCTTGCATTGCATGGTCTTGCATGGCTTGATCTTGCAGCACATGGTCTTGCAGTGCTTGGTCTTGCCTTGTGTGGTCTTGCATGGCTTGGTCTTGCCTTGCCTGGTCTTGACCTGCTTGGTCTTCCAGCACATGGTCTTGCAGTGCTTGGTCTTGCATGTCTTGGTCTTGTCTTGCAGTGCTTGGTCTTGCCTTGCGTGGTCTTGACTCACTTGGCCTTGCAGCACATGGTCTTGCAGTGTTGGGTCTTGCAGTGCTGGGTCTTGCGTGGCCTGACCGTTGAGTGGAGAGGAGGACGATGCTCCTCAAGAACGGGGCTGGCGACTCCCCAAGAGCCCAAGGGCTCTTCAGCCCAGCTCTGCTTGAAGCGAAACCCCTGGAAGATCCTCCAAGCCGGGGATGAGGCCTTGGGCGCTGTGGGTAGGAGCCCCCTCACACCCGGGCGGTGGCCCCGGTTCTAAGATGGCCCCTTCCCCCCGCAGACTCCCCCGACAGCTTCGCCGACGAGGACGACTACGACGACGTGTCGCTCTCCGAGCCCGAGCGCAACCGCAGGAGGCTGCAGGTTGAGGAGGACCTGCAAAGCCAGAGGAGCAAGGGAGGCGCAGGTGACGGGCAGCGCCTCCGCGGGACGCGGGGGCCTCCGCCGGGCCCTGTGGCCCGTGACACGTCCCTTCTTCTCTCCAGGGGTCTACATCCTAGCGGGGAAACCGGCGGCTTCGAGTCCCACCAGAGCGGGTGAGTCCGAGTTCCATCGGTGCCCCGATTCCTCCTTGCAGGGACATCGGGGTGGACATGGGGGTCCCACACATGGACATGGGGGTCACGGTGAGGCTGGAGCTTCTCTGCAGGGACGGTGGAGCATGAGGCAGGACAAAGGCCAAAGATATCTCCAAGCTCCCCCAGACCCATCCTGCTAGGACTGCTCTGCAACGATGTTCATGAGCATCTTCCCAACGGATCATCAATGAACTGATTGCCCTACTTGATCAAACCGATTAGCTCCTTTGGGGGAAACAACGGGTGTCATCTCCCTCATTCCTGGAGAAGGAAGGAGGAAAATCCCCGCGGCGCTGACGGACGTTGCTCTCCGTAGGCATCTCGGAGGCTGGAGCTGGCGCGGGAAGAGGCTGCCAGGAGAAGTCGGTGGTGACGCTCTACGTGCTGGTGGCGCTGAGCTTCATCATGTGGGTGGCCCTCTTCCTCCTCGCCGTGGTGAAATGTGAGTGCTCACCTCAGCGGGAAGAGCCCGGCAGATCCGGGCGACCTCGCGACCTCCGCTTCCTTCTCCAGACTCGGAGCTTTCCAGGGAGTTGAAGACGCTGAGCTCCAACTACTCCCAGAGCGGTAGGTTCTTGCGCTCCGACCTCCGCGGTGGGAAGCTCCGGCTCCAGGCGGAGGGCGGGAAGTTGGTTGGGACACGATGGCCCTCCTGGGCACCTTCCATCCCAGTGTTTAATAAACGGAGAGAAAAAATATTTAGTTTAATTTAAAATTTAATGCTATGGGCCACGCAAAACCATCGGCTCGTTGCCATTGGACGAGGCATGGCCAGAGGACACCGGATGAGGGATGGGAGAAGAGAGCGGGGATGATGGTCCAGGCGTCTCACTCGCTTCCCTTCACTCCCCAGTGCTGCAGGAGATGGCCGAGACGCAACGGGGACAAGCCCGCATGAGGACCAGGATGGACACCTACTACCAGGAGCTCCAAGACATCACAAGTGAGAGCCATGGGGCTGCCTCCATCTTGGCCATTGGCTGCATTCTGGGTGGGAGGTGTTGGACCATGTGCCCAGATGGGTTGTGAGATGGACCAAGATGGGTTTGAGATAGACCATGATGGGTTGTGTGATGGGTAATGGGTTGTGAGATGGACCATGATGGGTTTGAGATGGACCAAGATGGGTTTGAGATGGACCAAGATGTGCTGTGTGATGAACGATGGGTCATGAGATGGACCATGATGGGTTGTGTGATGGGTAATGGGTTGTGAGATGGACCATGATGGGTTTGAGATGGACCAAGATGTGCTGTGTGATAGACGATGGGTCATGAGCTGGACCATGATGGGTTGTGTGATGGGTTGTGAGATGGACCATGATGGGTTGTGTGATGGGTAATGGGTTGTGAGATGGACCATGATGGGTTTGAGATGGACCAAGATGTGCTGTGTGATAGACAATGGGTCATGAGCTGGACCATGATGGGTTGTGTGATGGGTTGTGAGATGGACCATGATGGGTTGTGTGATGGGTAATGGGTTGTGAGATGGACCATGATGGGTTTGAGATGGACCAAGATGTGCTATGGATTGTGAGGTGGATGATGGGCTGTGAGATGGACCATGATGGGTTGTGTGATGGATGATGGGTTGTGTGATGGATGATGGGTTGTGAGATGGACCAAGATGGGTTGTGAGGTGGAGCAGGGGACCCGGCGCCTCCGCTGGGATTCCAGGAGGGATTTCGCCCGCAGCGCTGATCTGCAAGGCCCTCCCGGACAGCCGGAGGTGCTCGGCCGGCTGGAAGGTCTTCGAGGAGAGCTGCTACTCCTTCTCCACGGAGAGCACGAGCTGGGAGGAGGCCGAGCAGATCTGCACGGACCAGGGCGCCCACCTGGTCATCGTGAACACGGACCAGGAGCAGGTGAGTTGGTTTTCCCAGGACAAGAGGGAAAAACCACTAAGAGCAGCAGGGGGGGGCTGGATTAGTTTGGCTTTTTGGTTTTTCTTCCTTTTTTTTGCTTTTGTTTTGGGTTGGTTTGTGCTTCCAGAAGTTCCTAAAAGACAATATTAACAACAGCAGCTCCTACTGGCTGGGGCTGAGCGACCGGCAGGAGGAAGGGACCTGGCTCTGGGTTGACGGGCAGCGCCTGAGCATTAGGTGAGAGGCGGGGAGATAAAAATAATAAAATAAAGTAAAATAAAATAAAG